TTTTTAGGGAATAATGTTTAGACAAAGAAAGAGAAACAAACCACCAAAGTTTTTTCTCATAAGTGATGACATGTTTGAGAAGAAAAGTCTTTTAAAAACCACTTTACATGTTGAGTACTTTGCTGATCCTATGTCGCTTTGCCTATAACGCTGTTAGCATTGTGCACTGCAGCTTAAGTGAGCTTTTTCAAAGTTAAAGCAGTAAAGAAGTAAAAAGAGCTCTCAAATATTTATTGATTAACCAGTAAATTTTCTAATAGAGATACGAGAAACAATTTTATTTCATTACTAGTTTTTCATGTATCCTAATGTCCTGCTGACGTTGCTCCATGTCGTTCGTGGTGAAAATCTCCTCGAAGAGATTCGAGCCATGCTTGGTTGAGCTCTTCCTAAAGCAGACTAATTTTAGCTTGTAATTAGATATTTCAAGTTTTTCGAATAGTAAGCTAGAATATAAATAATTTAAAATGAAAAATTCTATTGTCCACTGGATTTTGCTGCATATTTTGTCCATATCACTCTGTTACAGGATATACATAGATTGATAAAAGAGTACCGTACGTGGTATTCTTGCATACTCTTGAACGATACAATATCTGTATAACGGAGCTCTGATGTAAAGTAATATAGCACTTTATATACCTGTTCAGCCTTTGTATGAGCTCGGTTTAGCTCCACACCACGGTGGCGGTAACGTCCATTTTCATCCACATCGTCGTAACCATCGATTTTCGTGTCTGAATCATCATGATTTACCTTTTACAAATTCGCATTACTCTCAGTGAAAGTGATGTTTAATGATAAAAATTTATTTCGAAAATTTTGCCTATTCTGCTCAAAATGCAGTAGGATTCATCCTTAAGGTCGTTAACATTTGGGACAAGTCAAAGATGAGAAATAGCAACTTGCTTACACTAATCGATACTAACTCAATATGTGACTTATTTGAATTACCGTTGTTCCATTCAGGTCGATTTTCAAGAGTTGAGGATTTATGGTGCCTTCTCTGTTTCTTAGACGTTGTGTGATTTATTGCACTGACGTCATTGGTTGGATCCTGCAAAGAACTTATTTTGTTTTTACTGACGGCTGAGCGGATATGAAAAAGTGAGTGTTAACTTGTATTTTGTATGAATGTACAACGAAAACTCTAATTCTAAAAAATTAGTTGATAGAGCAAAAAGCGAATATAATAACCAGGAGAAAAATAGCATCTCCATAGAAGAACACAGCTAATGTGGGATCTAACTCACCTTCTTATTGTTAGAAGCACTTTTCGAGCGATGCATTGAGAGAATAAGGAAGATTGGTTGCTAAGTGAATAGGGGCCATTGGCGATCTCCTGGCAACACTGTGGGTTTGGTGAATAAATGATTATTGTTGTAAGACAAAACGAAAACAAAGAATCCAATGGAGAGCTCAAATCAAGCAAATTATGTCTTTTAAGGCAACAAATCTTTCAAAAGATTA